AAAATTTTTTTTTTTTTTTTTTTTTTTTTTTTTGGAACTTACTGGCACTTTTTTTTTGTATCTATTTGAGATTTTGTTTTTATTTTATCTACACAACTAGTTAGCAGAACTAAATTATTCGGTATGCATCTAGAAGAAGTGATGGCAAATCGATGAGCTAAATATCTTGAAATTTTGTTGAGGCTCAGATGGGGTACTAGTAGCTGAAGATGAGCGTGTCAAGTGGCAACCTGACAAGTTTTGCAACTTTGCGAGAGTGTAATTTGACGAAAATTCCACTTTTTTCTACGAAATTCTGTATGTTGACTGGCCGGAAGTTTTCTAACGAGCAAAATTTGAAAAAAAATTTGGGATATCAAGTGAAGAAAGAGTGCGAACGAGCATGACTCGTTTATATCATTAAGCAAATTGACGCTGTAAAATGCATGAAATTATTGTAGAAAAAGAGGGCTATTCCAGTTTCACAGCCTTTGTAGGCTTAATATTTATAATTGCTAAAAAGAAATTTATATTTTATTCAAACTATTGTTTTTAACCAATTTTATTCAGAGAATAAAAAAAAGAAGGTTGAAGATTTTTAAGATAATAAAAGTATCACTCAAAATATAGTCAGAAAGCCAAGTTGAATTTGTAAGCGTAATTAACGAAAAAATTAAAAAAAGTTTTGACATCTACTTTTAAAAAAAATATTTGTTTACTTGACACTATATCTTAAATTTTAGTTAATTCATCCAAAATATAAGTATTGTGGTTGCTGGTTATAACTGTAAAAGCAAATATATGCTCTGCATACTGTATATCTAAAAGTTTTAACCATAGTGAATGCTCAAGAAACAAAAAAAATTTCTGTATTGAAGCTGCAGTTTATACCTGAGAAAAACTTGTTCTTCAAGTGTACTTAAGCTAATTTTAAAAACCTGCTGAATTAATGCCAACTCCAATAAAAATTTTAGATGATTTAATAATGCTCAGTGAACGCTTTCGGTGGATGACAGTTAAAGTTACATTGTAAGATGTCAGCACTAAACAAATTCTGTCACTCAAAACTATCAGGGTGATGAATTGTACCAGTAGTTGACGTGGTATAAAAAGCTTCTAAATTATTTGATATAAAATTGTTCTGTGCACAGTTCACAAAATTTTACTATCACTAAAGTACGTTAGAAGGTAAAGAGACTAGTAAAAACATAAAGAAAAATTTTCTTTTCTTAGTATTATTCGACAAGAATACTCATTATTATTGTTTGAATTGTCCGCTTGCCAACGTTCAGCAAAATCTTATGTCTTTCTTTTTCTTTTTCTTTTTTCTTTACATATGCAAATATACATATCCGTTTTAAGACAGACTTCATAAATTTATTGGTTGACAGTTTTTGTGAGCAGTTACAATATGTTGACTGTACACTGACAGACTGAGCATTGGTAATCAGTAAAATTCAGTGTGTATTGCCACTCCACAGCGATTAGCACCAGCGAGTTTCAGGAGCTCGTATTTATCTTCAAATTCAGCTTGACAACAACACTGGGAATACAGTCATTCAATGCAAGTGTTTATCTTGAAGTAAGGTGAAACTAAATTACATTTCTCCAAATTTACATTGATATTTTTTTGATAATTGCTAATTTTGTACGTACAACTATCATGATAACTTTGCAAATGTTGTGCAACTGATGAGGCATTTATTGAATTCTGCATAGGCAGAGCAAAATATAACAGCATGCAAAAATTTTACCAGCTTTTCCAAATACTTCTTTTAGAATCCACTTGATTACAGCCTATATTGGTCGGTTAGCCTCTTGAATTCTATTTGTCATTATCACTGATATACCTCATAAATTTCCAAAGAATGTTATGGAGTTAT